CCTGTGAGGCAGAGGTCAAACATGCCTCCTCTCTCTGCCATCTTTACCAACTCTGACACCAACTATCTCTCCCACAGCACTCTCTACTAGGTTCGATAATTCATTGCAATGACCACACAGAACTCACAGACCCTCACAGTTATGGGGTTTATTACGGAAGTAACAGTTACAATTCAGGCTCAAGAACACTTAGGATACAGTTCTTCCATCAGGATAGCCTCTCCCCAGCTATGCTCGCAGGCACGCCTCTCCTCGGCCCTCAGTCTCTGACCAAAGCCACTCAGCTTTCTCTCACTGTGGGCCGGGAAGCCCAATGCACTGTCTCCTGCTGCCAGGTCTCTCCTTTCTTAGTGGTGGTGGGCTCTTCCCCTCTGCTCTGGAATTGGCTCTCTTTTAAGGCAAAACTGACCAATCCCCATGGATTACCCTATCACACAGTCCTGTCCAATCACCAGGGTGGGAGTTACAAGACCACGGCTAGAAAGGCTACACAAAAGCAGTCAATCAGTAATCAATCACAACACAATCTAAAATACAGTAAAAAAAAAACAAAAACAAAAAAAAGTGAGTGGTGAGTCTGCAAGTGCTGATGCGAAGGCAGTAGAAGTATTTGTTGAAACCTTAGATAAACTAATTGTAGAGGGAGGTTATTTGCAAGGCAAATTTTTAATATGGATGAAACCTCCTTATTCTGGAAGCGAATGGCTGAAAGGACCTTCATCCGTAATACGGTGTTCGCACAATGTCCAAATCACATAATGCCCTATTTCACAGAACATATCGTGGACGTTAAGTGACACATGACTGTATATGATATTATGGAAAACATAAAATTATGGAGAAAATAAGAACATTAGTGGATGCCAGGGATTCAGGGTGGAGGTTAAGGGAGAGGGATGAATAGGTGAAGCACACGGGATTTTTAGGGCAGTGGAACTATTCTGTATGATACCGTGATTGTGATTTCATTGCATTACGCATTTGTCAAAACCCATAGAACTATACCACACAGAGTGAACTCTAATGTAAATGATGTTGTTGTTGTTGTGTGCTGTTGAGTTGATTCCAATTCACAGAGACGCTATATGACACAGTTGAACTGCCCCATAGGTTTTCAAGGCTGCAACCTTTATGGGAGCAGATTGCCAGGTTTTTTCTCCCACAGAACAGCTGGATGGGTTCAAACCGCCAGCCTTTCACTTAGCAGCCAAGAGCTTCACCACTGTACCACCAGGGCTCCTTATGTAAATGATAGGCTTTAGTGAGTAATAATGTATTAATATTGATTTATCAATTGTAACAAACGTACCACACCAATGCAAGATGTTAATAACAGGGGAAACTGGGAGGTGGGAGGGAGTGAGTATATGGGAATGCTCTGTACTTTCTGCTCAATTTTTCTGTAAACCTAAAACTGCTCTAAAAACAGTCTATTAATATTTTTAAAAACACAATGAGATATCTCTATACAACTATCACAATGGTTACAGTGAAAAATAATGGCAAACACCAAATACTGGTGCTGATGCAGAGAAAGTGGATCATACTCATACATTGCTAGTCAGAATGTAAGATGGTACAGCCACTCTGGAAAACATTTTGTCAATTTATAAAAACAAACATGAAGCACATCAATGGATGAAAGGATAAACAAAATGTAGTACATACATATAATGGAATACTACTCATCCAGAAAGAGAAATAATGTCTTGATACATGCCACAACATGGATGTAGCTTGAAGACATTATGCTGAGTGAAATAAGTCAATCACAAATGGGCAAATACTGTATGACCTCACTTATATAAAAAGACAAGATCAGGTAAGTGTACAGAGATAAAAGTTTATTAGTGGTTACCAGGAATCGGAGGTGGGGGAGAGGAGGAGTTATTGCTTATGGTGCACTGAGTTTTGGTTTACAATGATGGAAAAATCACTTTGATTAAGGGTAGGGTTTCACAGCAAATTAACGTAATTTCTGTTAGTAAGTTGTACACCTGTAAAAAGTTGAATTGGCAAAAGTGGTGTGCAATACATACTTACAACCAAAACAGTAACAACAAAGAACAGCTGCTGAGACTGCTTATGTACAACCAAATACTTCATGGGATTTGGTTCCTTGGTTTGGAGATTTAGGGTCATGGTTTCATGGGACATCCCAGTTCATTGGCCTAATACCATGTTAGTGCTGGTGTTCTACCTCCTAGTTTGCTGTGTAGTGCCTGGGGGTCTTAAAAGCTTGCAAGTGGCCATCCAAGGTGCAACAATTGGTTTCTATTCACCTGCGTGACAGAGGAAGAAGAGTCGGGACTAGAAGGAGGAAATGGAATGTATGGCTAATTGCCTCCACAAACAACTGCCTCCTTTGCCATGAGACCAGAAGTACAGGATGGTGCCCAGCCACCATTACTAAACGTTTTGATCAAAGATTCCTTGGAAGAATCTTGATCAAAAGGGGAAAAATTCACAGCAGAATTTCAAATTATCATGGACTCCAGACTTTCTGGAACCACGGAGGCTGCATGAACCCCTGAAACTATTGCACTTGAGATAATTTTTAAGCCTTAAACCAAAAATATCCCTTGAAGTCTTCTTAAACCAAACAATAGTTTAGCTTAACTAATAAAGAATGTCTGCCTTGAGCACTGTGCTCTTTTAAGAACTATTTATATGGGATTCAATTGACATCAGAAACTGGAAAGATAGAGAAACTTTGGGAGCAGTGAGTTTATATTAATGGGGGAGGAACAATTCGGAAAAGGAGGGTGACAATGGTTGCACAACTTGAAGAATGTAATCAATGTCACTGAATTTTACATGTAGAAATTGTTGAATTGGTGTATGTTTTGCTGTGTATATTTTCAACAACAAAAATAAATTAAAATTTAAAAATTAATAAATATACTTGCAACTACCATACAATCCTGTGGGGCAGTTCTACTCTGTCCTACAGTGTTGCTAAGTCGGAATCGACCAGACGGCAATGGGTTTACCATACAATCCAGCAATTGCACTCCTGTGTATTTATCCTAGAGAAATGAAGACTTACATTCACTCAAAAGCCTGTACATGAATGCTTATAGCACCTTTATTCCTAATAGCCCAAAACTGGCAACCACCCAGGTATCCTTCAATGGGTCAATGGTTAAACAAACTGTGATACAGTCATACCATGGAAATACCTGTTGTTGTGTGCCTTCCAGTCCACGCGGCTCACAGGGACTGTCATGGATTGAATTGTGTCCTCCAAAAAATGTGTGTAGCAACTTGGCTAGGTCATGATTCCCAGTATTGTATGATTGTGTTATCTGATGTGATGTCCTTATGTGTTGTAAACTCTACCACTATGAAGAGATTATATGTGATCTCCTCATGTGTTGTAAATTCTATCACTGTGATGAGGTTACACTGATGAGGTTGACAAGATCAGTGTCTTAATGCAATCTCTTTTGAGATATAAAAGAGAGAAGCGAGCAGAGACACATGGGAACCTCATACCACCAAGAAAGCAGTGCTGGGAGCAGAGCGCGTCCTTTGGACCTGAGGTTCCTGCACAGAGAAGCTCCCAGACCAAGACTGATGACATGGACTTTCCTCCAGAGCTGATGGAGAAAGCGTTCCCCTGGAGCTGATGCCCTGAATTTGGACTTGTAGCCTACTGGACTGTGAGAGAATAAATTTCTCTTTGTAAAGCCATCCACTTGTGGTATTTCTGTTGGAGCAGCACTAGATGACTAAGACAGGGACCCGGTAGGACAAAGTAGAGCTGCTCCATAGGGTTTCCAAGGCTGCAATCTTTAGGGAAGCAGTCGGCCTCATCTTTCTCCCATGGAGAGCCTGTTGGGTTCTAACCACCAACCTTTCAGCTACCAGCTGAGCACTTAACCACTTCGCCACCAGGGCTCCTTACAGAAACTAACCAAAAAACCAAACCGCTTGCCACAGAGTCCATTCCGACTCACAGCGACCCTACAGGACAGAGTAGAACTGCCCCATAGTGTTTCCAAGGAACAGCTGGTGGATTCGAACTGCAGACCTTTTGGTTAGCAGCTGACCTCTTAACTACTGCCCCACCAGGACTCCTATCACCTATAAAAAGGTACAAACTATTGGTGCACGCAACAACCTGGATGAATCTCCAGATTATTATGCTGTATGAAAAAAGCCTATCGTAAACACACAATGTGGTATTCCATTTATATAACACAGAAGGGCTTAAAATGAAAAAGAACAGTCCCCTGACCCATCCCTTCCTATCCCCAGTCCCTCTCTCCAGAAACAATTGCTTTAACTCTTTTAGCCATTTCTTCTAGTGGTCTCCATATTTCAATATAGTGTGCATATACCTACCGGTATCCAGACTTTATCTATTGACTTCTTACTATACAGTATATGAGAATTTAATTTCCTTACTCCACGCCCCTCTTTCCGGTTTTAATTAATAGGAAGGAGTGGGGAGATGGATGTTTGTGGGAAAATCTCCAATGAATCCCAGGTTTCAGCAATAACGATCACTTTACTGAGCGTTTACTATGTGGACAACACAGTTCTAATAACTTTGGATGTATTGACTCATTTACAAGCTTGGGTTACAGGCACTAACATACAATAAAGCAGGAAAACGACAACAATGCTTGGCCTTCTTCACCCAAAACCGTTAAGCAAAAGTAGCGGTAAAAATATCTAGCTTCCAGGCACTGAAATGCAACCGTCTCCTTTAATTCTCCGCAAGGGATGGGTGGGGCCTGGTCTACTCACTGTTAAAAAGACCTTCAGGCTTGCCGCCCTGTCCGGACAGAGGCGCTGAGAGCCAAAGCCACATGATGGCGACAGACGGCACTCTGGCTTTCCCGGAGCATTCTCTATGGTATTCACCCCGGCCCACCCGCCCCTTGGGTAACGGTAGTCACGTGACAGACTCGGTGATTATAGCAAGTGCCCACGTGATCCTGGCCTGCAGTCGAGTGGCTGTCGTGAGGTACCTGGGTTCCTGATGGGCCGGCAGTTAAGTCGGAACCGCCGCCGCCGGTTAACCCTCCCGGACTGCCAGGCTCAAGAGGAACAAGCCAGCTGAAGCGTTCACCTCTTGGTGCTAACGGCGCGGGTCTACTCTTTCTGCCATCTCCGCCTTCGCGGTCCTCACCCCTTTGCGGGTGAAGTCACCTTTAGGTTTCGAGACCTTGGGGCTTGAGGCCCAAACTCGGGACGACCCTTCCTCTTTTCCTCTCATCCTCCATCTCTTTCTCTTGCACCACCGAACCACTTGGTATTCCTGCCAGCCAGCTCGGCGGTGATTTGAGGCCAAGTTCGGGGCGGTAAAGGTAACCGTGGGGAGAGCGGCCCCCCAGTGGACAAAGGCGGAGGCAAGAATAGAGCAGGCCTAAGGGCCGCAGGCGATGAAAATCGGCATCTGAGGGGGGTGAATAAGGAAAAAAAAAAGTACTGAGGATACAGAAGGAACTGAAAAGGACTTGTTGCACGATGGAAGAATCTGACTCCGAGAAAAAGATGGAGAAAGAGAATCTGGGGCCAAGAATGGATTCTCCAATGGGGGAACCTGAGGGATCGCTTGGGTGGGTGAAGGCTATCATACTAAATCTGAGGAAGGAAGTGCTTTAACTTGTAAATTAGACCCCAATGAAAAATTGCTTCTGTTTACCAGTAACATTGATTGGTATCATGATCTTTACAACAGAAGAAACTAAAAAGGACTGGTGATAACTGAGCAGAAACAACCCTTAGGAAGGAGGTGGTATCGTTATGGGGGATGGGGGTGTTCTAATTGAGGAGGCAGTTCTGAGTTGCTTTGAAGTGTCAGTAAAGGAGATTTGACATCACCATTTTGCGGATAGAAAGTCTAGGAAGAGGAGGTGCTTCTTGGGCAGAGACCAGTGGTTTGAGAGTGCTTTTTGTGCCAATAGGAATTTGAGACTTGTATTTTATGTACTTTATGTTTATGATTAGTGAAATATAGCTTGAAAGGATGGCTGAAGAACTAAATATATTTTTAGATTTTAAAAATAGCCTGATTTAAAGAGATATTCAAACATGAACATACTGTTTGATCTACTTATTTTTTTAAAACAAAAAATTGAATCTTGAATTTTAATGGCTTATTTATAATCTAAATAAATCTTCCTAAAAGCTATCTCCTGAGCAGGTAATTAGGGCCTAGGGAGCATAAACTCTGTTTTATAATTTAGGAAAATGAGAGACTACTCAACTGAGGTCCCACACATACTGCTCTACTTGACTATTGTGCTAAACATGCTCTTTTGTACTTCAACATTTATTTTCATTTCTTTAATTCCAATTTCTAAGTAATTGAATCATGGAAACTGTCTTTTGGTTTGTATCTACAGGTGGGTGCTACCAAATACAGCCATGAAGAAAAAGGTAAGACTTGTTTTAGATACATCAAAACCGTGAAGGTAAAGGTAAGAAGATGCTATTCAGGAAATATGTTTGTGATGTATATATATGGTGTCTTTTATGTGGTCTCCCTGACTCTAGTCCCCTTTATTGCTCTCAGATTTAATTTTTCTAATATATAAATCTGACTGAGTCATTCATATACTTCATACTTAAGAACTTTTCATAAGTTCTCCAAGCCAATGGACTATAAATCCAAATGACTTTGCATGGCCTACAATGCCCTTTAAAAACCTGTTCCTGGCTAAACCATCTGCTACACCTATGCACCCTCTGGCAGCCATAAAGAATTTACTCTTCCCAAATTTACAAATTGATTCGCACTGTGTGCAGGACACACACACAATACATACACTACACAGGGCTCTGCCTGCACATTATTTTGAACTGAACTCAAATGTTACCACTGTAAGGTGTTACATGAGTTCTCCAGATGGAATTGAATGCTTCTTCCTTTGTGCGCTCATGGTACTATGCCCCACCTTGGGATTTAGGCAGAGTTGTTAAGAGTACAGCCCTGGAATAAATTTCTTAACATTTCGTAACCTCTTGGGCTTCAGCTTCTTCATTTGTAAAATGATAATAATAATATTACCTGTCTCATAGGGTTGTTGTGAAGTTTTAATGAGTAAATTCATGTAGAGCACTTAGATCAGTCCCTGACACAGTTATCCTGGGTAAGTCTTTCATAAGCAATTGAGGTAAGTTTTTTTTTAATTAAAAAACAAAAGAAATGCACTGCATTTAGTCTTAACTTCATCTAGTAATTCAGTTATATAACTCGGTTTAACTAAGGAAATATTCCTGATGAAAAGGAATTCCTGTGTAAAGTTACTATCAACAAGGATACCTAAAAATACCAGAAATTTCTATATGATTAAGAACAAAAGGAAAACTTTTTCTGTAGCAACCTACAACTGGTTAGTAACATTTCCTTAGTGAGATAAAGTTATATAACTGAATTGCTAGCTTAAACTGAGCTTGAGTGCAGTATATTTTCATTAATACTCCCTACATTTTTAATCAAAATTTCTTATAAAATATATTAGGATTGAAGGTAGTACATGTAGCCCCTTTATTTAAAAAGCAAGGTAATTGGAACTATATAAGTTCCAAATCTGAAATTGTTTTTTAAAAATCAACTTATCTATTTCCATCCTAGTGTAAGAATCTACAGCATCTTTGACAGGTGTTTTTTCTGTCTTTGTTAAATGCTGCCATTGACAAGAAGGCTGCTCACCTTCATAAGGCTACCTTTTTCATTGGACAATTCTCATTGTTAAAAACTCTTGTATCATTGTTTTAGCAGCTTGCTCATTCTTTTGATAAACATATTTTGACCATCTGTTAGATGTTAGGCATTGGAGATACAAAAGGGGACTCTCCCTACCCTCAAGGAGCTCACAGTCTTGTGAGAGACAGATGCCAAAAAAAGAATAAAAAATAATGGGTAACTGCAATGCATTACAGTCTTTGCAATGACACAAGTATGCATAGAGTGTCATGAGAGGACAGAGGTGAGACACTTAAGCCAGCAATGAGGTAAGAGAAGCTTCTTGAGGAGATGATCATTGAATCAAATCTTGAAGGATGAGTGGGACTTAGTTGAAGGAAGAATAGGCAATGGAAAGTTGCTGGCAGAGAGTACAGCAGGAAACAAAAGCATAGAGGCAAGAAATGGCTTCAGCCCAGAGAGCTGAGAATAATCAAAGGGACTACAAGCAGTTCAGTTCAGTGTGGCTGGACCCTAAAAGTTCCAGGCCAGGAGTGTGGCAGGAGATGAGGGCAGAGAAGTAGATAGGCTAGATCAAGGAGATTCTTAATATGTAGTTGAAGGACTTAATCTGTTAGGCCATGGGTAGTTTTTGAAAATAAAAAGGAGAGAGAGTAATTAATGGAGCAAGATTATGATGTAAGGGATGAGATCAAGGGCAGAGGTGGAAAGGTTGACTTTGGGCACAAGGAGGAAGAACTTTCAGTTATATTGAAACCCCCTGCTAGGTAGTTGAGTGCATAAAACATTATATTATGAGAGATCAGGGTTACATATTCCTCTCAAGGTTGTAGTTCTCTAACCTAGTTCTGAATATATTAGTGCTGCATATTAATAACAAAGTTATTGTGATCCTATTCTCAAGAAGATGTGTGACCGTGAGAGATAAATGCCTAGCCGCTGGAATTCTAGGTATCTCTGCACTGTTGGGGAACAGTTTAGTTGGTTACAAATATCCGCATCAGATTGTTAGTACTTCAGTAAAACATCAAATACAGGAGAGAAATAGGTCCCTTTAGACTTGATTTGCTCTAGATTGCTAACTTGTTCTCTTTCTCTACTTTGTCCTTAGGTGCTGTTGATGGGTAAAAGTGGGTCTGGTAAGACCAGCATGAGGTCTATTATCTTTGCAAATTATATTGCCAGAGACACACGTCGCCTGGGTGCAACAAGTAAGATGTTTTATCTTATTGTAAAGTCAGGTGATCTTAACTATTAATTTGCATAACCCACTTGGTTGCAGTAGCTTGGGGACTGCGAGGGTTGAGGGATTTGTTTTGGAGCATGTTTTGCCTCTTTGCGTCCCTCTTCAGAGGAGTGTGTCCTAATTCTGGTTACTACCATTCACACTCTTCGGGAGGTTCTAGGCTGCTTATGAAGTGGTACGCTATTGCCCAACTTCCTCTCTATTCTGCTATATCTTAAATAATCATAGGAACCCTTTTATTTGTTTTGGGGAGATGATGTTCGTTTTTAACTGTATTATATAAAGGGAAATTGGTAAGTATTAACAAGTATAACAGTAAAGTTTCCTAAGATTTTTTTTAAAGCAGTGGTTAGTCCTAGTCTTCATTAAAAGGAAAACGAGTGGAGATGGTGGTGGTGATTAACCTTGTCTGTACTCTGGTACTTCTCTTCTTGGATACACTTAGATGTTCTCTTTGGAGTTCCAGTTCTGTCTTGGGAAATGTGTTATTGCCCATTATGGTGTGAGAGTTAAATCTGGCTTCTCTCTTAGTCTAGACTAGTTGGGCTGCCATGGCTGTTAGGACAGTCCTGAGAGAACCCCTGTGTCTCTGGTTCATAATGCCATTTCATTCTGCAGCATCCAAGCATTTCTGGATACTGCCTTTGTTCCTGGCCTCTAGGTGAGGAAGGCATTGCCCTATCTCGCCTTCACAGATTCCTGACCTGAATTTCTAGCATCTTGAATGCTTTTAGGGACAAGTCACCCACTATTTCATGAGGCATCTCATTCTGGTTTCAAGAACAACAATAGCGGGACTATTCTTTCTCTTGTTCTGAATATTACATCCAGTGAATACTCCTGCAACCAAAATTCCATAACTATTCAACTTGATTAAAATATAGTTTTGAAATAGTCTAGCAGCATTGTTAAAGTTTGAACAGAATGTTGCAGATTATATTTTACAAATACGTTTTATAAGTACATTATGTTTCAAACCCTAGGATACAAATAACAAAAAAATTTCATCTCTGTTCTCAAAGTGTTTGGAGTGTATTGTTGACTCTCATAATTGGGACAGCTTTAATTATTAGAAAGCTATTTCTTAGAAAGAGCCCCAAGTCTATTTCCTTTTATTTCTTTTAGCTGGTTCTCTTTCTGTTCTCTTGAACTCTACAGATATTTGAGGATGGTTAATGTCTCAATCTATCCCTTGCCTCCTGAATCTTGTCTTCCTGAAATTAAATATCCCCAGTTCTTCCAACTATTCCTCATATGACATGATTTTGAAGCATTTTTAAGGGCTTGTTTGAACTTGTCTACATTTTTCTTAAACTAAAGTGCTAAGACTTGAAGGCAAATGTGGTCTGATCAGGGCAGAGTGGTGCTACTGCATCTCTTGTTCAGGGTATTACTGTTAGTGAAGTTAGTCCCTTCCCCCTTCCTTTTTTCTAGTGACCTTCATACTGAGTTATATTAAAAAACCTCAATTCCTTTTCACTTATACTGTTATTAAAAACACATATTCTCCTTCTGGTTCTTGTGCAGTTAATATTTTGAACCTAAGAATAAATTTTTTCTCTGTTAAATTAGTCAGTGTTATTTATTTTAGCCCATGATATGTTTCTATGCCCTGCATTTGTTAACTGTGAAATCCAGGACAAGTCATTTTATCTCTCTGGGCCTCAGTTTCCTTATCTGTAAACAGGGGTTGGATCCCTCTCGATGCTAACATTTTATCATCCTATTTTTGTTTCAGAAACCCTGGTGGCGTAGTGCTTAAGTGCTACAGCTGATAACCAAAAGGTTGGCAGTTTGAATCTACCAGGTGCTCCTTGGAAACTCTATGGGGCAGTTCTACCCTGTCCTATAGGGTCACTATGAGTCGGAATAGACTCGACAGCAACGGGTTTGGGTTTTTTTTTTTGGTTATTTTCATTTCAGCTACTTATTCTCACCTCTGACATATTAGCTATCCTTCCTAGCTTCTTGCACTTTGTACATTTGATAAGTATCTCATCTACTTTTCACTGAGTCACCAATAAAAAATTTTGATCAGAACAGGGTCCGATGGTTTGTCGTGTCTCTAGAGACTTCCTTCTACATGACATCTGTGGCTCTGGCCTCTGGAAAGTCTACCTGTGCAAACTTCTCCCTGTCTTGATTTTCTAGATTTAAAAACTTTTCTTTTCTTCCAAGTTAAGTATCTGGGCCAAGTAACCATATGATTTCAGTAGACAGAGATAGCTAATGTGTGTTAAACAACCGCCATTTGCCAGGCTTTTGTATGCTGTTTCATATACTTTATTCTTCATATTAACTTGATTTTAATTATTGAAGAAAGTATGGCTTAGAAATTAAGCTCACTTAGCTAGTTAAGTGTTGGACCTGGAATGTAAATCTACGCTCATGCTCTATTCATTTTGCTACAGCCTATCTACCTTACTGTATTCTAATAATTCCTGATAGACTTCTTTGTCTTTGTGTTTAAACTTTGCACACTTTGTTGAAACACCTGTTTCCTAGTCCAACTGATATTTCTGTTTTTAGCTGATCAGCAGAATTATTACCCCAAGTCCAGTGAATAGTCCTGTAACCAAAGTTTTATAACTATTCAACTTGCTTAAAATAGTTTTGGAATAATCTAGCAGCATTATTAAAGTCTGAACAGAATGTTGCTAATTCTATGAACCCTGTACATTAAAGCAGGCCATTTAAGTATTTTTTGGAGCTTCCTATGTCCCAGACACTGTGAATGAGACAAGGACTCCCCTTGAGGATATCTCAAGCAGGATCTTTATTGATAGTACTTTATTAGCAAATACTGTATCTCCTTAAAGGTAGTAAAAGTATACTTACAAACATTATGCTGACCTTAATGTTTTAGTGTATCATTAGCTAATTTGTCATTGCTGAAGAGAGGAGAGGTCTGGGTTCTATTGCTAAACTTGTAGACTAGTTCAAAGTATGTATAGTGTATTGCTTTTACTTCATATTCCTTTATATGCAGTTGCTGATTTTCTTTAGAAGTAGTAAAAGGGTACTTCTTTTTAAAATATTACATTGACTTTAATGTTTTAGTGTTTTTCTATTTTGTCACTGCTGAAAAAAGTCTAGTTTTATTTTCTTAAACTGAGAGCCTACTGTGTTTTGAAATTTTACATAAGGATACAGAGTGGTGGTGTTATTAATTTATTAGGGGGCTGTTAAAATGCATTAATTGGAATAGTAAACTTGTCAATAAAAATATGAGTATGAAGTATTTTAGTCTCAAACACTGTTGACGTCTCTAAGATGTCCTCCTTCTCAAAATTCTCTGTTCCCTTGGCTTTTATTTAATGCTTTATTACTCTAGTTTTCTTGCTTCATCTTTGATCATCTCTCTCCTTTAAAAAATAAAAAAGAAAACAAAAAACCTTTACCAGAGTATTTTCTTCTTTCTGCCCCATAAGTGTATGTGATTCCCCAAAGTTCTATTCTTGGTTCTCTTCAGTTGCCCTTACGACAACAGGGCAGGAAGAGTAAGAGAACCAGAGGCCATACAGGAGACACGAGACTAAAGAGGAAAGCAGAATGAAGAGGTTAGATCATAAAGTGCCTTATAAACCAAGTCAAGTAGTTTGAACTGAAGGTAAAGGGCAGTCCCTAGAGGATTTTAAACAGAGGAGTATTTTAAATATGGAGATTTGTATTTTATTATTAAAAATGTTAATTGCAAAAGTAATGCTTGTGAAAATGCAAGTATTACAAAAATATAAAAAGTCTACTCCCACCCTCACTCTCAGGCCTACATCCTAGGGACAAATACCATTAGTAGTTTTGTGGCTCTCCTGGCATTTGTTTTTCTGGGAGTATATAATCATTTGTATACAGAGACACGTTATTTTTTTTTTTCTTTTTAAACAAGAATGGAATAAAAATATGCATTGTGGGGATAGCTCTGTATCTCTAATATAGAGAATAGATTGGAAGGAGGCAAGGGAAGAAACAGATTGACCAATTAAGCAGAGTGTTTAGCAGACCAGGTAAGAGATGTCGGGGGCTTGACTTAGGTTAGAGTGGTGGTAGTAGATATGCTGTAAAGTGAATGGATTTGGGATGTATTTTAGAGGTAGAGTCAACAGGACTTGGTGAGAGATTTCGGGGTAGGGAATGGTGAGGAAAAGAGTAGAGTCAAGGATGAAACGAAGGTTTTGGCTTAGGCAACTGGTTAAATTCACTGTAATGGAGAAGACTGAAAGAGGAATAGATTTTGTGGGAAGAATGGGGAGATGATGAGTTATATTTGGATATACTGAGTTTGAGATACCTGTGGTTCATCCAAGTGGAGATATCCAATATATGAGTCAGAAAGGTAGAAGAGAAATCTGTACTAGAGATACATATTTGTGAATTATCAGTATCTAAATGGTAAATAAAGTAATATGAATAAATTAGCTTACCCAGAGGAAGATACGTAGAGACAAGAGAAGGTGGCTAAGGATAGAATCTTCAAGAACTCCAACATTTAAGGGACAGAAAGAAGAATAGGAGCCTGTGAAGGAGATCTGCCTGAGAGATCATAGATATGACATCAGAGGCCAAGAGAAGAGAATTTTTTGAGAAAAAGAGAGTAGTCAACAGTGTCATGCTGGAGAAAGTAAGACAAGGACTGAAAAGTCCACTGGATTTGATAATGGGGCCATTGGTCACTTGATGAGAACCAGATTTCTATCCCATGTGCCCTATATCTGAACAGTCACTAAATCCTGTCACTTCTTTTGTTATTGTCTTTCCCTTTCTCAGTAGTACTTCTTTCCATTTTTTTTTTTTTAGTACTAGACCGTTTACATAGTCTTCAAATTAATAGCAGTTTGAGCACCTACTCTCTCGTAGACTCTGTTGGAAATACAAAGACATGTAAGATATGATTCCTTTTCCAAGGAGGGGAAGTAAAGGGGAGAAGGGAAGTAGTTTGAGCACCTACTACGTGCCAGGCACTTTATGTATGATAACTCATTTAATCCTCACAGTAATACTGTGAGATCAATAGTATGCCCCCCCTTTTTTTAATAGAAGAGAAAGTACTCAGAGGTTAAGTGACTTGCCCAAGGTCACACAGAGAAGTAGAGCTGAGGTCTCTGACTCCAAGGCCCATACTTTTTTTTTAAACTATGCATTGCTGCTTATCTAGTTTATGAGAAGAGTCATGCCCAAAAAATTACACGAAAGGATAGCAATCAATTTAAGCAACAGCTTTAAGATAGTCATAGAAGAAGCACCACTGTGTGATTGATTGTCACATAAATTGTATAGATAATAATCTCTAGAATTTGAGAAATTTCCAGGACAACAATTTTCATTATTCTTCTTTGTGATTTAGTGCCTGGCAGAGAGTAGATGCTTAGTAAATGTTTGAATGAATTTAGAGGGAGAGATGATGGTAAGTGGGGGGTGGTCAGGCAGGGCTTTTAGAGGAGGTGGGATTTAAGCTGGGTCTTGAAAAATGAACACAACTTTAAAAGAAAGATGGGGAGGGCTTTCTAAGCAGATGGACATAGTAGGCAAAGTATAGAGGGGAGGGAAGTATAAGGCAGAGGTCGCAAACAGGCAGCCTGCACTCTGGATAAGGCCTGTAGATGTGTTTTGTTTGGCCCATGAAATGTTTTAGAAAAATTTGAATTGGTTATCAGTATTTAAAACTTTTCATAAAAATATGGATTTCCCACTACTATTGAAATTTTTAAAGATCTGGTAACTCTGGGCCCATATTCCTGCATGGCAAATGAGCTAGAGCTGAGTAACTGCTATCTGCCCCACTGGCCCCTTGGGTAAATGTTTACACGCCATACGTGGCCAATTTTGCTCTTATACATTTACTGGCCTGACCCCTATTAGCAAGTTTGCGACCGCTGATACAAGGTATGTTGGGGGTTGGGGAGGTAGTGGGGTTTGGGAATACTATGCATAAACCAAATTGGGCTGGAGTGAAAGGCTTTATTAAGGTGAATCATTGGAGAATATAAAGGTAGATCGAAAGCCAAATTTTGAAGGACCTTGAATGCCCCTTATAGGCATGGAGGAGCCATTGAAAGTTTGTGGAATGGGGAGTGACATGTTCAAAGTAGTGTTAAGAAGATGAATCTGGCAGTAGCCTAGAGGGTGAAGTAAAGTAGGTAAGGCTTTCTGGTGGGGAGGTCATTAGTGGAGCTATTTCAGTAACGTAGACGTGAGGGCCTTAATGTTAGTGATGGGTCATAAAATAAGGGTTGGATAGAACTGAGAGATGATGTAGAGGAATAGTCAGCTGAGTTTAGCAATTAATTTAATTTGGACAGAGAAGCCAGAAATGACTGAAAAAAATGGGAAAATGGTATAGTCATTAACTGAAGTAAGGAAATCAATAGAGGGAGACAGTTTGGTTATGTTTCATGTTTGTTTCTTGTTGTTTGATTTTTTGTGGGTAAGGTGAGTGGGAGCAGGTGGGACAGGGAAAATCTATTAAATAGTGAATGTCTCTATCTTACATGTTGAATTTTAACATTAGTAAAATTGATTGGAGATTGGAGGTTTTTCCTGCTCTAAGTACTAAACTACTAAAAAGTAAAATGACTTACATGAGAGCCAGTTCTGTAGCTCAGGGTAGTTTAAGTGCTCACCTTGCCACTAAACCACACTACTAAGCTGAAAATCACCTTCTTCTTGTGGCTTTGAGCATTTCACTCCACTTTGGTCCTTCTAAATTCCATGGGTTTGTGCTTTGCTTATTTTGAATTTCACCTCACATGCTGCAATTACTAGATTTGTCATATTTATCTTCCAGTTGATGTTGAACATTCTCATGTTCGATTTTTGGGAAACCTGGTATTGAACCTTTGGGACTGTGGTGGGTAAGTACCATCTACTTACTTGTTTGTGAAACCAGTGGCAGTAATCATGGTATCTAGTATAATCATCATGGAGAATACACCTAGAGTAACTATCCTCTACAATAGATACATTGCACTGAAATTACTTCAGATTTGACACTTGATTAAATAAACATCTGACTTTTTATGTAATTGTGAAAATATCCTCTGTATGTGTGACATGTTTAAGTAGCAGTACCACAAGTTCCATGTAGGCATCTGCAGTATGGGGTAGCTTATCTGTCTTTTGCAGCTGAAGAAATTAGGTTTCTATCTCAGGCAGCCTGACATCAGTTCTGAGCTCTTAGCCATCACATCATACTACCCTGTTCTTAATTATTTCACTAATTATCTTCAGGCAGTCTAGCACTGTAGATCAGACCCTGAACACATATTCTCCAGGTAAGTTGCCTGCAATTGGAAGAGTAGGAGACAGCTCTTTTTCTCTCATGACCAAATCACTCGCTGAATGTCCCATCACAAATGTACACTCACTATTCCTTGTACGCTGATGTTGCCCCATACCCTATGATCATTTACATCTCTATGGTAAGGCAACAGTATGTGGTGCACACTGGCTAGGAGCCTAAATGGTAGAGTTATACATAGGTTTTTTCCCAGTTCTATTAGCTGTGTTATCTTGGATAACCAAACCAAAAACCAAACCCATTGATGTCGAGTCAATTCCGACTCATAGCCACCCTATATAGATCACTTAAACTCTCTGAGCCACAGTTTCTTCATCTGTACAATAGGGATGGTAAGTAGCACCAACTCATAGGATTGTTTTGATGATTAAGATATATACAAAAATGCATAGCAGAGTACCTTACAAAATAAATAGATGTTATTGTTAGCTTAATGTTTCCCAGCTCCTAGTATAGAGCCAGCCATAGAGTAGGTGCTCATTGAATATTTGTTACAAGAATAGCAAAATAGCCAACTGCTCTGTAAAAAAAAAATCACTTCATTACTGCCAACAGATGGATCACTTAACACTCACCCTAGTAACACTCTCCATACTTAACCTTTGTCATTATCATTGCTTCCAATTCTGGGATCCCTGTCAAGAGACCCTATGGTCCAGGTTCCTTGTTTTTAGGCAATAACATGTTATTTCCTATTTTAAAGATAAGGCAGCTGAGGTCCAGTGAGATCATGACTCTGCCAAGTCATACAACTAATTAATAGCAAAGTGCAGGACTAGAACCTAGGTTTAAGATTTTTTTCACTGTGCTGTTTTTCTTTTTTTTTTATTATACTTTAGATGAAAGTTTACAGAACAAACTAGCTTCTCATTAAACAGTTAGTACACATATTGTTTTATGACATTGGTTAACAACCCCACGACATGTCAACACTCTCCCGCTTCAACCTTGGGTTCCCTGTTACCAGCTTGCCTGTCCCCTCCTGCCTTCTAGTCCTTGCCCCTGGGCTGCTGTGCCCCTTTAGTCTCGTTTTGTTTAATGGGCCTGTCTAATCTTTGGCTGAAGGGTGAACCTCGGGAGTGAATTCATTACTGAGCTAAAAGGGTGTCTGGGGGCCATACTCTCGGGGTTTCTCCAGTCTCTGTCAGGCCAGTAAGACTGGTCTTTTTTGTGAGTTAGAATTTTGTTCTACATTTTTCTCCAGCTCTGTCCGGGACCCTCTATCGTGATCACTGTCAAAGCAGTGGGTAGTGGTAGCTGGGTACCATCTAGTTGTACCGGACTCAGTCTAGTGGAAACCGTGGTAGTTGTGGTCCATTAGTCCTTTGGACAAATCTTCCCATTGTATTGTTACTTTTCTTCATTCTCGCTTACTCCCGGAGGGGTGAGACCGGTGGAGTATCTTAGATGGCCGCTCACAGGCGTTTAAGACCTCAGATGCTACTCACCAAAGTAGAATGTAGAACATTTTCTTTATAAACTATGTTATGCCACTTGAGCTAGATGTTCCCTGAGACCATGGTCCTCACAGCCCTCAGCCCTGCAATTCGATCCCTCAGGGAGATTGGATGTGTCTATGGAGCTTCCATGACCTTTCCTTACACAAGTTGTGCTGGCTTCCCCAGTATTGTGTACTGTCTTATCCTTCACCAAAGTTACCACTTATCTATTGTCTGTTTAGCGTTCCTCCCACCCTCCCCTCTCTCATAACCATCGAAGATTGTTTCTTTCTGTGTGTAAACCTTTTCATGAGTTTTTATAGTAGTGGTCTCATACACTATGTGGCCTTTTGTGATTGACTTATTTCACTGACATCACTTGTTTCATAATGCCCTCCAGATTCATGCATGTTGTGAGATGCTTCATAGATTCATCATTGTTCTCTATCATTGCGTAGTACTTCATTGTATGTATGTACTATAGTTTGTTTATCCATTTATCTGTTGATGGGCATCTAGGTTTGTTTCCATCTTTTTACTACTTGAACAATGCTGCAGTGAACATGAATGTGCATATGTCTATTCGTGTGACAGCTCTTATTTCTCTAGGATATATTCCTAGGAGTGAGATTGCTGAATCATATGGTATTTCTATTTCTAGCTTTCTAAGGAAGTGCCATATAGTTTTCCAAAATGGTTGTATCATTTTGCATTCCCACCAGCAGGGCAAATGAGTTCCGATCTCCCTGTAGCCTCTCCGATATTTGTTATTTTCTCTTTTTTTGATTCATGCCAGTAATGCTGGGGTGAGACGGTATCTCATTGTGGTTTTGATTTGCATTTCTCTAATGGCTAGTGATCTCGAGCATTTCCTTACATGTCTGTCAGCCACTTTAATGTCTTTGGTGAAGTGTCTGTTCATTTCTTTTGCCCATTTTTTAATTGGATTATTTGTCTTTTTGTTGTAGAGGTGTTGGATTTTCCTTTAGATTTTAGAGTTTAGACCTTTGTCGGATTTGTCATAGCCAATATTTTTTTCCCTACTCTGTAAGTTCTGTTTTTACTCTTTTGATGAAGTCTTTTGATGGGCACAAGTGTTTAATTTTAGTAAGATCCCGGTTACCTAGCTTATCTTCTGCAGTTTGTGTGTTGTTAGTTATGGTTTGTATCCTCTTAATGCCATGTATTGGGGCCTCTAGCATTGATCCCATTTTTTCTTCTATTATCTTTATAGTTTTTGGCTTTATATTTAGGTCTTGTATCCGTTTTGAATTGGTTTTTGTGTATGGTGTGAGGTATGGGTCCTGTGTCATTTTTTTCCAAATGGGTATCCACTTTTGCCAGCACCGTTTGTTAAAAACACTGTCTTTTCCCCATTTGATGGACTTTGGGCCCTTGTCAAAGATCAGGTGACCGTAGGTGGATAGATTTACATCTGGGTTCACAATTCTGTTCCATTGATCAAAGTATCTCTCATTGTACCAGTACTAGGTTGTTTTGAGTACTGTAGCTGTATAGTAGGTTCTGAGGTCAGGCAGTGCGACTCCTCCATCTTTATTCTTTTTCTTCAGTAGTGCTTTACTTATTCAGGACTTCTTCCCTTTCCATATAAAGTTAATGATTAGTTTTTCCATCTCTTTAAAGAATGTTGTTGGTATTTGGATTGGGATTTCATCATATTTGTAAATTGCTTTGGGTAGAATTGTCATGTTCACAATGTTGAGTCTACGTTTCTATGAGCATGGTATGTTTTTCCATTTATGTAGATGTCTTTCTGTTTCTTGCAGTACTGTTTTGTAGTTTCCTTTGTATAAGTCTTTTTCATCCCTAGTTAGATTTATTCTTAAGTATTTTAGTTTTTTTAGGGGCTATTATAAATGATATTGTTTTCCTGATTTCCTTTTCATCGTTCTCTTTGTTGGTGTATAGGAATTCAACTGATTTTTTTATGTTTATCTTGTGTTCTACTACTCTGCTGAATCTATTAGTTCCACTAGTTTTCTCCTGGAGTCTTTTGTGTTTTCTATGTATAGTATCATATCATCCGCAAATAGGAACAGTTTTACTTCATTACCAGTTTGAATGCCCTTTATTACTTTTTCATGCCTTATTGCTCTAGCTAGGACTTCTAGCACAATGTTAAATATAGGAGTGGTGGTAAAGGCATCCTTGTCTTTCCTGTTCTCAAGGGGAGCGTTTTCAGCCTCTCTCTATTAAGAATGATGTTGGCTGTTGGTTTTGTACAGATGCCTTTTATTATGTTGAGGAATTTCCCTTCTATACGTATTTTATTGAGAGTTTTTCTCAGGAATGAGTATTGGACTTTATCAAATGCCTTTTCTATGTCAATTGACATGATCATATGGTTCTTTTCTTTATTTATGTGGTGGATTACGTTGTTTTATTTTCTAATGTTGAACCATCCTTGGCTACCTGGTATGAATCCTACTTGGTCGTAGTGTGTTGTTTTTTTTTTTATATGATGCTGAATTCTGTTGGCTAGAATTCTGTTGAGAAGTTTTGCATCTATATTCATGAGAGATATTGGTCTGTAATTTTCTTTTTCTCTGGCGTCTTTGCCTGGTTTTGGTATCAGGGTTATGCTGGCTTCATAGAATGAATTCAGAAGTGTCGCTGCCTTTTCTGTGTTCTGAAATAGTTTGAGTAGTAGGGTATAAGCTCTTCTCTGAATGTTTGGTAGAATTCTCCAGTGAAGCCATCTGAACTAGGGCTTTTTTTTTTTTGTTGGGAGATTTTTTAATTACCTTTTCAATCACTTCTCTTGTTATGGGTCTGTTCAGATTTTCAACTTCATTTTGTGTTAGTTTGTGTAGATAGTGTGTTTCTAGAAATTTGTCCATTTCCTTTAGGTTTTCAAATTTGTTGGAGTACAGTTTCTCATAATAATCTGTTATGATCCTTTTTTATTTCAGCTGGGTCTGTTGTAATGTCCCCCGTTTCATTTCTTATTTGGGTTATTTGTGTCCTTTCCTGTTTTTCTTTTGTCAGTTTGTCCAGTGGTTTGTCAATTTTGTTGATCCTTTCAAAGAAACAAGTTTTGGTCTTGTTGATTCTTTCTATTGTTTTTCTATTCTCTATTTCATTTATTTCTGCT